ACTGTGTATGTCCATTTGCTTGTTTTCTTATTCCACTCCCATTACTTTACTCTTATTAGTATTTAGTCTCATTCTTCGCTTTCTTAGCCCCTGTCTCCATCTGTTCAACTTCTTCTGTATTTTTTTTTGGAATTCGTGCACATCATTAAGTGTTCTGCGAGTCCTATACTAACTATATCCACTTGTACTTTGTCTTTGTTGCCTTAATTACATGGCCTATTACCACAGATTTATCTGTGCTATTTTACTAATATAAATATAGCATTGGGCTCACAACTTTTCCTTGTGTTGGAATATAAGTTCTTGATAAAATACCTAATAGAAGCTTATACTGCACGCTTCTTTTTTTTGAAGGTTTTCCATAATGGTTTTGCTGGTTTTCTGATATTAGTTGCTTTATAGTATACAGTGAGTTTTTTTTTAAATGCGAATATAGGAGTTTGCATGCAATGTAATTTTCCTATGTTCGATTTTTAAAAAAACACATCAATCTATGAGGTGTGCGCGGTTCACATTAATCGCGCAACTTGTGTGACTATGAACAGCAACTCTATAGTCTTTATGATGAAGAGCACTCGGTAAGATTTTTTTAAAGAAGCCATGTGAGGCCATAGCAACTTTAGGGTACATTTTTCTTAAACTTACGATAACTTGACCTCACAGACCACGCACTGACACCACAACTCATTGTGAACCAACCTGCAATTATTTGTAGGTCATGTGCACCTAGTATTCTACTAATTTGATCTATTCAATACATAAATGAAGAAAATAAGAAAATAAATACCGAAAACAATTACAATAAATGTTCGAAGTGTCCTCCTTGACATTCTAAGCAATAACCTAACCGATTTCGTAATTAAATTGGACGGCGGTATTTTTAAAAATGTGACAGCTGTCAATTGTATCTACTACTCATTTGAACTACTCAATATATTTATGTGTTTTTTTTTTAAAATCGAACATGGGGAAATTACATTGCATGCAAACTCCTATGTTCGCATTTAAAAAAATTCACTGTATATCATCCTGTGTGCTTCGGTCTTTCCTGAAACCGCTCTCTGCTTCATCTGACTTTTCTACTCCATTCCTTTTCCTTATAATATAAGGTGTCCAGCAAGGGTAGGGGGTATTTATAAATTCAATAAAAAACAAGTTAAAACATTGGTTTGAGGGCGATCGCATTTTGATATAAGTACAAAAACAACGTACGTACAAAGTCAACTAATGAAACGGGACGATTTGGGAACACTACACCTGAGAAAGTAGGTGGAAGGGGTTCGTCAACGAGTGGGACGTTATCATGTATACTTGATCGGGAGAACAACGATTGAGGTTTTAACAAATGTTAGACCGTATCAATGAAAACGATAACGTGCTGCTGAATCTTTGGATGAGTGATGAAGCAGCCCACTTTCATCTGAGTGGTTTTGTCAAAAAGCAAAATTTTCGTTGTTGGTGAGACAATAATCCAAAAAATTACATAAACGACCCCCATATTCAAAGAAAATAACCGTGAGGTGTGCGGTTTCTTCGTTAGAGACAATCGGCCCTTATTTTTTTAAGAACGAAGTTGGAAGCTCAGTACCAGTGAAATCTGATCGTAACGTCAATATGATTCCCTGCAATAGAGAACAACAGATATGAAATAATGATTTTCCAACAAGATGGTGCGACATGCCACACACTACGACTACGAGTGTCAATAGATTTACTTAAGGTCGTTTTATGAATAAGAACGGCACTATTCCCTGTCCATCTCGTTCCCCCGACTTGTGCGCATGCGACTTTTATCTTTGGGGATACCTAAAAACGAAAGTGTTTCACAGTAACCGCCCAAGAACTATTCAGGCATTGAAAGAACTGCTTCGGCGAAAAAGAGGCGCAATACCTCTTCCGACAATCCGTTCTTGAGGAATAAAGGGAATATACCCGATCACGATAAGAGGTCGAGAAGGAGGGCTATGGTTGGTACAAAATTAATTCCTTACGTTGAGACCTTTCATTAGAGTGCCATGAGTGATAAAACTAGTTCCACTCCCCCCTCCCCTTTCCCTTCTAGAATACAATGAGAGATAACATTAATTTTTAACCCCCCCCCCTCCCCCAGGCTCCGTCGTTCAATGATCTCCGAGATGATCTCGAAAAGAGTCGCACGGGAAAGTTATAGTTTGTACAAACCAATTTATTTCGATGAGACCTTTCATGAGAATACCATGAAGGGTAGAACATGTGTTTACCCGCCCCTCCCCCCTTTTTCTAAAGTTCAAGTTGGCACCACTGCGTATGAAAAATCTGAGACCAATAGGTTGTCGTATGTTAAAGTTATGCACGTTTTACTTTCAAAAACAGTATCTCAGGAAATAATTCGTGGGGGGCCCCCCTTTTAGATAGCGAAATTTGATGACCGCCTGGCATACCTACTGCAAACAATTCCAGTACTTGAGGACCATTCCCCTAGAAGTAGTTCGAAACGGAAGAAGTGGGTCCGGACGGACGGACAAAACTCAAACAATAGCACATTTTTTTTATTCTTAAAAAATGCGCTAAAAATATCTATAAATAAGAAAGTTGATTACATTGAGAAATTAATTAATTAAAGACACAACGCCAGGCAATTGTCAAAGTTTCAAGTTTCAACTAGGATTTTTTATTATGAATAGTTTCTATGCGCGATCGATTTCGGGTGTTATTTTACCGATCGCCCGTAGAAACTATTCATAGTAAAAAATCCTAGTTTGTCTTTTAATTAATTAATTTCTCAACGTATTAACATAACAAACTACTATGGCGAACTTCATACTACGAAAGAAAGTTGATATTGTGTAGTTTGCGCACATCTGATTTTTACAATATGCGATACGCTTGTTGTTATTAGAAAAACGTGTGGTTACATTTAAAAAATATATCTCCATAAATAAGAAATGAACACGTTATATAGCTCATAATTATGGATTTATTTTAAATTCTTGTCAATAAGTTAGCAGTTAAAAAGTGTCGAAGAACAATAGTAAAAGCAAAGAAAGTCGTTTAATTGACGAAATCTAGCGCAAGCAATAGAAGTATCGATTTTATCGGTTTTTCATTTAGTTTTTATTAAACAAAATACAGAGGAATAAATAGAAAACAGGTAAAATTTCTTGTGCTCAGAAGTTACTATTCAATTATCGTTTGAAAAGTGTTACACTGAAACCAAGTAGAACAGAATAGACTTTTATTTGATATCAAGTCCATTGAAATCAATCGAAGGGTTATTTCTTTATTAAGTATCAAACTTGAGTTATTAAACAGTATAAGAAAGCTTCAATTCAGCTAAATTACAGGTGAGGTATGGTGACTGCTAAATTGGCCAATGTTTAAAATTTAAGGGTAAGTATTAACTATCATTTGAGCTAACCTTTTCAGGTAATAAAATAAAACCTGAGAACTGTAAATAACAAAACGTTATTCGATGCAAAGGCTATTTAAATTTAGAAGAGAAGAGAAAGTAGAAAAAATACGCCGTCACATCATCAGAGCACTACCTTACCTATAAGCTTGAATAAATAATATCACATTTAACATAACCTGAGATTAATGTTTTTTTTAATCTATGGCATAACTCAATCTAACAGGATAATAATAACCCACAGTAGCAGTCTTTTATACTTCATTACTGTAAAATGACCATGCTGTCCCCATCGCCGTCAACTCTCTTAAACTACCTATTATATTGTGCCTCACGGATAATCCGCTACTTATCCAAAGAAGGGCTGAAATAACGGTAACCATAAACATAATACGAATATCATTCCCAATAAGCATCACCGAAATTATAAATATAAAGTATCAGACCTCGCCAAGTTCCTGCTGTCTTTGAGAAATCTCGTTTTCTTGGATGTGACATACGCTCGGTTGCGCCGCCTCACCTCTCACACCTGCCAAAATATATAATTACCTAGCCACAAACACCTTGACACGAAATTTTGATTAATTAAATGATTCGATTTTATGCTTTTTAGGTAATTTAGACACTAATTTTTCACCAAATGTTAAGTATGTTAATGAATTATTTTTTAAATTTCAAAAGAAATCAGCGTGTAGACACCTTGGTCACCTTTTATAGTTTTGCAAAAAAAACAGTTAAAAAAAATTGACCGTATACTAATAGTTTAATTCAGAAAGTGTCAACATAAGCCGCATTCCGTTCCCCCTTGTAGACCATACGAGTCCCATTAAAAAAAATTGGAATAGCACGAACTTTTAACATATTATATGTGGTACGATGCCAAGGCTATGACTGCGTATAAATACATTCATATGTTTAATGTTTATATAAAATTAACGTAATAGCAATGCGTAAGTACTGCAAAAATAGTATGCAGTGCATTAGCTTCCGTCATGTCCGAAACATATTTTCACTATATTACCTTGACCACTTATTAGAAAATGGGCCATTGTTAAAACACCAAACGTTACGTGGGACCATTAAGTGCATTTCATTGTTATTATTTACATAAATATAAATTCAGGCACGTGGGACAATTTGAATAATCACTGAGAAAGGTAGTTGATAAAGTATATATATTCAAAAAAGGTACCTTAGTTCTAACTGATTGTGCTGCGAAATCCATTTGCTCAACATAACAATGTGCTCACAGAATTTTGAAATTTCACAAACTTGCGTGAAAAGTTCGCGAATTCCGTATGAAACAGAAAACGGACAGTGATGTCAGCATTGGCATCATCTAAATAAATTGGTTCGACAAAACTAATTCGCGTTGTTGAACTTGGTCTCGCTGTAAGTGGTAATTTAAAGCCCTTGGCATGCGCAAGTCTTCATTACGGCTTTTATTAGTGTAGGAGAAATGAATCAACATATGGCATTCTAAAAATTAATTCACTAAACAGTCGTGAAATGACGAGCGCAACAGAAGCCCAATTATTTTTATCTCAATTAAGTCATAAACGTTATCGGAACCATTAATTATACTAAAAGTGATGTAACGAAAAAATCTTACCCTTCGTTCCTCTTCACGTGCAGCACGAAGGTGGGTTTCGATAGCATCGAGATCAATTTTTGGCATAGCCGTCTCGATATTGTAGACGTCGAATCCGCCTGCGAACAAAAATAGAAGAAATATCGTTAGAAAGGAAAGTCTGCATCTTATCAACGCAAATGTTTATTTTCGTAAAGTAGGTAATTTATGCTGGAATATCAGTCAATGATTAACGTATGACCTACTCAAAAATGTTTTGGCCAACCGGTAGTAGTGGGAAACAATAAGTAGAACCTAAAGCTAATAATAACATTTAACATAATTGCTTGCATACACATTGATTAAAGCGAGGGTAATAACTTTACTAATTACATTAAAAGTTGAACAAAGTTCAGTTGCCCTACAGATTACCACAAAAATGGCCTTAAATATTAACGCAAATGGAGCTAATGGACGCTATCTTATTTGTGATCTAATTGGAAATGTGTATATGTCAAAAGATCACAACCTAAACAAACTGCGACTGATTAAGCAGACGATGCATTGAATAAATTAATAATTAATTTGTTCCAGATATGATTTATCTTCTATTTTCGCCAACAGTGGACCGATTAAGACTTTAATGAAACAAATTTCAGACTAAATATGAGTGTAGATTCTAGGTATAGGATTCGTCACGAGTTGAGTCAACTTTAAAGTGAGGAATCATTGCCAATGTTTTTGCAGGGCCAAAATGTTACTTGGTCTGAAAACGATGTGTGCATAATATACAATAAATGCAAGCATTAAATAAAGTCAATATAAGTACGAAGTGCGCGAAACCACAGATAAAATACCCAATTTATCTGTGGCGAAACTGAAGTGCTTGGTCTACTTGGCGCAAATCCGAACAATTCCAAAAGTTCCAAAATTGACCAATTCAAAAAATTACAAAAAAAATTCGTTAAGCCGCTTGTGAGCAAGAGGCGGAGAGTGCACTTTCAAATTTGTTTTTTCGATTTTAATAGCCCTTATGGACATTTCATGCGGTAATGAGAATACAAACATGAACTAATTTTTAATTTCTGATTGAATGACACAAATACCAAGTCTGTAAGTAGTGTAGTTCCGGAGCCTATGTGACTCGACAGACAGATAGTAAGACAGACATGAAAAGCGCAAAAGTGCACTTTTTATTTTTTGAAAGTAAAAGTGAATGTATTTCTCATACAAAATAGAAATTTAGTACAACGAAGGCTTATAGAATTGAATGTTGCAAATCACTGTCAAAACTATGTATAAAATTATTTGGTCTGGAGGAACGTTTTGCAGAAAAATGGTACGTCCAGAATGAGTCAACAATTGCGCGGAGTAGCTTAATGCCTTGAAGACAAGATTTTTCGATATAGTGTTTTTGTATTATGATATGGTTGAATATTCTCCAAACTTTAAAAATATTTTCCGTTATACAGAGTGCGTTCACAAAGTTAGGACGCTAAAAAGGTACATTTTTGTAAATGGAACCCCCTGTATTTAAACGCATTTTTTAATTCTACGTGCAATTGTACGACTTTTTTATTATATGGTCAATATTATGAAGAACTTGTAGTTTTAAAGATAATTTTAATGATTAATGATTTTTAAGAAAAATTTGGCATTTTCAAGTGTCAGTTTATTGTCAAAATTACTACCCAAATTTTGATTCTCACAAAACTTAAAAAACCCTTCAACTTTTGGTAATAATGTCCTATGCTTACCTCTGCTAGTCTTTTAAATCTCTTTGAAGAATCCTTTCTTCTAAATAAATGTTCGAAAATATGTCCTCCTGGTTAATGCAGGTTTCAAGTCTCGGACATTGGATAACATCCCTAATCCTGTCAATCATGCCCTGCCTTGTCGTTCGTTTTGTGGCATATTACATATACTATATCTTTTATGGGAGCGTTTTAAGTTGAGCACTTCGTTATGAAAAATGTCGCTGCGAAAGTTTTTGTATTTATAGAGTTGTCTTTCAGGGGCCGCTACCGTAAATAACACTGCAATTAATCCGCAGTTTGCAACCCTTCCCGTCAAGAGATTTCAATTGTGTTTGTTGAGTCCGAGCTCTTATCATTTAGACGAAGCAAAGTAATATTTTAGAATTACAGACACATTAAGCCATTGTTAGCAGGTTTTTATTTCCTATGTTAATTTAAAACGAATTTAAAACCTGTCGATACCGTGGAGTTTACGTAAAGATTACTAGATATCGAAGATAGCGCCGTTTGACCTGCCATTCCAATTGACCATAGGTATTAATTGCATCGCAGAACTTTGGAATTTTACCCCGTCCATTTGCATAAGTAATCGTAATTAATTAAATGAGTTACAGTAACAGACTCCGATTAAGTCGAGATGGGCGTAATTAATTACAGAAATGTTCGGAGCGCATCGAAAGTAGTACGCTGGTTGCTTAGGTTTCCCGTACTTATACCATTTCCCCATTTCGCGGAGGTGTCTAAAAGGTGAACGCTTAATTTAGAAGGGGCTTAAGCTTTTTGGCCTTCTGATTTTCACTGTTTTAAAAGCGGTATCCAACCAGAATTGCTTCATAAGCAGGAAATAAATAAATAATAAAAAAAAGTTCTAAAGCTTGCATACTGATGATTCTTAGGTTGTAAGACATTAACGCCATCTGCTTGATTCGTATTTAATTTTGACTTTAGTTCACTCTGCGTTCGTAAACCACCTAAAACACGCCCTTTGATTTGGTATTGTACCAAGTATCGAAATGGAGTTCCCTAATGTTGGGAAACAGTAGCGTACAAAATACACTATCAAATTATGCAATAACCAACACTATTTAAAAATTAAAGCACAATTTGTACTTGAGACTTTAAATAAATTAACGGGAAGCACCTTCAAGAGCGAATACCAGCATAATGCGGTTGGGACGAATGGCATTTGAACATATCAAATTCTTGGCATATACAAGAACATTAATTAATCCAACCAGTGGTAACACTTACCATTACAACACATTATCCCATACATTATATATCAACCCCCACGGACGGAGTATTAAATAACCGGGCGAGAATTAACTATTGCGTACCCTATGCAGGGGTGAATTTATAATACAAACGGCAAAAGAACTTACCTAAACTTTCAGGAGATTGCTTCTTTTTATCTCTAATGGTAGGTGTTGACCGCCTGTTGACCGTATCTCTACTTTTGCCCCCGAACTCCCTTCTCGGCACAGTAATTAGACTGCCAAACTGTTGATTATAATCGCGACGTTTTTTAATGTAGGTCGTCTCAATTTTCTCCTTTTTCCTCGGAATAACCGTATCCTCATCTTTTTCCTTGTCATCCTTTGTTTTGTCTTCCTTGCAGAACTTTTCCACTTCGTCGCCTTTGTAGCCGTCCAGTTTCTCATTAAATCGCTTATTTCTAGTAATCTCCTCGAATTCCTCGACGTCTCTATTAGAATCCCGTCTCGTTTTCCAAGGTTTCACTTCCATCGTTTGCGGTTCGTGGATTTTTTTGGAGTTCGCGTTCAAATCGGCGGAATTAAAAAAATTTGATGCTACCTGTAGAACGCCCCCCAAGTCTTCGCTGACTTCGGATAAAAACGCGTCCGATATTTTACGACTGTAGGCATCTTTAGCGTAATCTAGGCTTTCGATTTCGGCGATTTTAATATTTTCCTTAAAGCTGTCCGATTTGGTCAGCGGTTTAACGTTTGCCGAGGGAAGGTGCATGCAAGACATTGCGGCCATGTTTGCCGTTTGAATTATTGTCGGGGCTTCTTCGACGTTCACTGATTTGACAACAATTTGTTCTTGACTTTTATTAAACGGCTGATCTGTATTTGGTTCTATGTTATATTTAATTGCGGATGGTTCTAAATTACTGGTGGTTGACAGCTTCTCTATTGCCTCCTTTAATTCGTTTTCAATCACGCGTTCGAGAGCAAATTCAATTTGGTTTTTGTTTACAATTTCGGTTTGTGACGAGACAGGCAGATTGGATGAATCTGACGAATCGCCCGTTAAATCATCGACGGTAACGTGGCTTTCTAACCCTTCATCCTTATTGAGCGCAATTTCATCAGAGTGAATGTTAAACAGAATGCTGTGAGGAGTGGCAACTTCAAAATCGTCGTCGCTACCTTGATTTGAGTTTGAATTAGTAGCACTCGCCTCTTCAGATTCACAATTTTCACCTTTTAGATTTAATGGAATATTAAACACGGGTTTATCATAAAACACTTTCTGAATGTTCTCGACACTATCCAAACGATTTACACTATCAATTTTATACTCCACATCCTCGTTATTATTGTTGATATTGTTCTCTTCGGCAGTTAATTTAGTGGTTGAAGAATCGTAATCAAAATCGTCGTCTGTGAAATCGGTGTCGGACGAAGTTTTAATTGTGTAATCGAGAGTGTGGGCGAGATGCTGAAATCCCGGGTAGTTGGGGTTCACGATTCCACGTCGCTGGAGAGTTTCTCGTGTATTTAGGTTGCCTTCGTCTGAAAGGGATTCCGAGTCGGAAATGTCGAAACCACGATCTTCATCTTGTGGGGACGCGTCGATTGATGAGTTGCTTTGATGTACGTCTGAAACATACATGGGAATTTTGGAAATTGACTACACCTTGGTATTTTACATTATTACATTAGGTACATACTATCGAGATGGCAGCGATTAAGCATAATTCGTAATGCGCCATTTGATATTATATCAGGATAAGTATTCCATATTTTAACAATAAGACGCCGTCACATACCATTTCTGAAATATATTTTGAATGAGTCACGTTACGCCAAAACTTGAAAGTCCCGGGAATAACTTTTGGTGGCTGAGAAACCTCGAAATTTTGGCAGTTTCAGTTTTTCGCTCAAAAACAGTCTATCTCTCTTTTTTTCAACTTTGTCGGAAATGGCGAAACAAAGGTTTTCAAACGTCCGTACATCGTAAACAAAGTATAAATGAAAGAAACAGATAGAACACATTTGGTTTTTAAGGAAATGCAAAGAAGTAGGTAACTATTCACAAGTGTAGAAAGATGAATTGTAGCTTACAAGTTGTTTCAGAAAAGGATAAGAGCAACCAGAACGGCTGTCTCGTTTTAGAGCGAAGCCTTTTAACTTTCAAGAGCATTATTGTCTTTTTTGCGCGATCGGTCATTTCTGACTATTTACCATGGGTGTTTCCATGACAGTACGTAGAATTTACCAGTTGCTATGATTACGACGACGCCAAAATTACTTTCTAAAAACAGAACAGCAAAAATACTTACCGACGCCTTTTTAAAAATCACCAAGTCTTACATTACATTTAATCTTTAATTATTGTTAGGTACATAAACGTACAATTTGTGCTGTTGTTTCCTATAGCAAGACGTCATAAAGTCATAAAGGAAGTGCAAAGCTAGTAAACTACATCAGACACATGCACATTTTTATGAAATTATTAATTTCAATTTTGACATTTAAACTGGTTACCTAGTGATGTACCCATACCACTTCGATCATTTCGATTTATTCTGCTCGTTAATTTCTTAGTGCATATTTATATTGGTTGCATAATTTTAATTTCGATCGCGCAAAAAATGTTATAAGCACGTCGAACGTTAAGGGTTACCGTTCTCAGACAATAATTGGAGTCGTAGCTCCGCTCCTCCTCCAAACAATTGTCTTCGAACGGTAAAAATCCCTTACCGTTCTCCATACTTAATATACTATTATGTGGTGAGAAGCTCATAGATCTTTTTCATAAACTACCAAGATAGTATCCATGTATACGATTCCTAATGCCTCGCAACAAAGATTCCTAGGGAGTGACATAAATATGAGCCGTCCCATTGACAAATTATGAACACATTGGGAAGCAGCATCAGTTCAAACGGACCAGGCTGCTGAAGATGCAGATGTTCTCATTGTAAGCACTGCGTTGGCTCAACTCTCAACGTTTGACATTGATATTGTCATCAATGAGGATGTGGATGTACTTGTTTGATGTGTGGGCCTTCATTCAAATAAAAACTTGTACCTTCAGAGACCAAGCACGAACGGCAAAGGGGATTGCATGTATTAGTGATCATCCTAGCAGTTCGATGCAAAGTTCGTCTTGTTTATGAGTGAGCCTTTACCGACTGTGATGCGACTTTCCGCCCCTTTTGACGTGGGCCTCATTTTCGTTGCTATGGAGAACGACTGGGCACCACCATCCTTGCTTCATCTTATGTGTAGTTGCAAAAGAGGACAAAGTTGAGGTGCACCAATATTTGCAGAAACTGTGGAATCAGCTGCAACAACATCGTACCAATTGAGCTGGACGAGGGGGGTGAGGACGATTTCACAGATGTCGACCTGGAGGAAGTTAAGGACAGTGACATGGATCCCACCATAAATCAAAAAGCGGACCCTTTGGACGAGGTTGGACCTCACAAACGGTGTGATCACCAAATTGAGGCAATATGAACCCATCAAGCAGGATACGAAACCTCCTTTGATATTATTACATCCATAGTGGGTCATTCCACCGTTGATTAGTCGTCTCTTACCACGTGCCACGTGTCTGCCTTTCCCGCCTGTGCACGAATAAAAAAATGGCGTGGGACAAAAGGAGAAGAAAAATAAAATGAAAAAAATAAGCAAAAGGGATCTTTTATCTTGTTGTTTTTAGATTCAAGGATCCCCAGATATGTATGGATATGATGGATCTAAGTTTGCCAACTCGAAAACCCCGGGGTTAACTTTTGGTTGCAGCAAAGTCATTAGTCAAGTAGCTTTTATTTGTTCTAAACTTCAGGTAAGCCGTCGTATAGCACTATTAACGATTTTTGAAGAGGAAGGGGAGAGGGGCATGTTATACGATATCTCGAACGATTTGAGCATGGACTTTGAGCACTGGAGATTTACGATAGGAAATTACAGAGAGTGATGTAACGGGGTAGAGAGTTCTATTTAGAAAAATAAATCAGCGCTGTATAAACGTTTTTTTTCTTGAAGAAGTATTGTACAGGCCAATCCTAATATATAAGCATAACGTATATGTTCCTCGATTAATTATTCTCAGAATACGCCTACAAACGCCGATCTGTGTAGCGCAATGGCGTAAAAGCTCGACTATGGTACAGGGTCCCTGGTTCGAATCCGGTTTCGGGCATGGATATTTGTAAATGTATAGTCGGTTGGATTGGTAGAGCAGCCTTGGCCGATACCCCGCCCACTTAAAAATAAAGACCAAAAAATAAAATAAAGAATGTATAAGGAAGAGTAGTATTGTACCTTTAGATACCTACTTTTATTTTAGATCCACGTAGAAATGGTAAGTAAATTTAGGTATAAATATAAAATAAACTGCATATTATAAAAAATGTTTCGAACGAGTCTCTAAACGTAAAACTTTTGATTTTTTGTCTGAAAATTAAAAATGGTCGCACATCATATCTGGACCTTTCTCGCAAGAATTAGTCATTTTTTTTACCAAAGAAATCAAGAATTAAGCCAAATCGATAAATTTGGGAGAGTTTTGCATGAGACCCGTGACGAGACTATTGGATAGAGTAGAAACTGTCCAATTACAACTGACCGACAGACACACCCACAGAAGGACCGACCAACATACCGACAGACGGACCGACAGGTCGACATAATCGAGATCCTGTTTGGTTCGGATTTCCTGGTGCTTTAAGACGTGTATTTCTATAAAAAGTGGAGGGTCTTTTTTACCTCAATGCAATATCTCCCTTAGTAGTGTGCAGGTGGTAAAAAGTCCAAAAATTCAATATTGGTTCAAGAAGAATGAAAAAGGGTTCAACAAAATTTCAATTTGAATTGTTTGACTTTTTTAAACCTTGATTTTTTTTGGATCGCGTGAAAATTTTTTGAATTTTATCACTAGCGTGCTATATTTTTAGATAAACATAACAATATTATATAGGGCGCTCTATTTAAAAAATGGGGTTAGGCTCGATAACTTTTTTAGCTGACCCCGTATATTTATTTTGAGAACGTCAGATTATTCAATAATCACAATAACAAAACTTTTGTATAAAACCTTTTTCTGTATCCCTTGTAACTAAAAATACGAGGTGTGGCAGAAATGTAATGAAACTAGCAATTTTGCAAGCGATCTGGCAACGCTAGACCACGTGTGTGTCAGTACCCTCCCACATACAGGGTGTCAATTTTAAAACTTGCAGTCGGCCATATTTTCCAAACTAAAGAAGATATTGAAAATCGCGCAAAACCGTTTCGGGGGTATCGAGGAGGAATCAGAATGACGTTATGAGTGATAACCCCCCACCTCCCCTTAACCCCTCAGCCTCAGCTCTTCAAAAATCCTAAATGGCAACCCCATACTTGTGACACATCGCAACCAAGATTGATTAATGAAGCAGCTCAGGTTGAAGTTTTTGGTCAATTTGCCATAAATCCCTTAATGTCAACATTTAGTGTTTTTTTGTTAATTATTACATTTTTTTTCAATTGTCTCAATGCATATTGACTTTATTGGTACCACTGGAAAGCATTTTTTAGTAGCTTTCCAACGACGTGTCACAAGTATGGGGTTTCCATTTAGGATTTTTGAAGAGGGGGGGGGCTGGGGGATTAAGGGGGTGGGGGGGGGGTTGTCACTCATGACGTCATTCTGGTTCCCCCTTGATACCTCCGAAACAGTTTTGCGCGATTTTCAATCTCTTCTTTAGTTTGGAAAATATGGCCGATTGCAGGTTTTAAAATTGACACCCTGTATATAAGTTTTTATATATACCCATATGCCCCACTGAAAACAGTCAATGCCAATTGTGCTCGCTTAACAACAGTTTTGCCAGAAACGCTTGAACACGTCAATTTTAGTTTCGAGGAGGACATCTAAATTAAATACTATTTACTTAACTTCAACCCTGAAAAGGGGGTGAATTTCACTCTAGAAATTTAAATGGGAGAGGGTGGTAAACGTTAGATAGTTCGAAACCCATGTTCATTCTGTTTTTATTTTTCAAATCCGATCAGTAGGTCCGGAGAAAACTCGATTTAAATAGATTTGTAGAGCCGTTTTAAATGTTTATCAGTTTATCACGTAGGATTTGAAATAATAGTAACTCAAAAATATCATCATTCTTGATTAAGAGAATATTTTGTATTTGTACGGTTCGCTATCCAATTGTGGAGGCATTTTTTACATTTGGTGTTTGAATAAACCAGTATTTGTTTTGGTACCTAAACTGATTTGTACTGTTATTACTACCCTCGCATCCTCTCAATTTTATACGGGAAGAGTTAAGATCAAAATTCAGTGGCGCTCAATCCCATTGGTAAGTGCAACGAAGATAAGATTGAATGACCAGAACGAACTACTGCTGTGGAAGATCTCAAGCTCTTATTTTGTTTTGCAACCCTGAGGTAGTTGGCCGTTTATGCGGCGGGTTTGAGGAAACGCAGCGGCAACCACGACAAGCCCACACTACCTACTCATCCTTACACTGAAATTTATGCTCAGAATGTCGAAATTCTTGATCCGCGACCATATATTCCCAACTGGGAAACGGTTGCGATGTGGAAAGCGATTCCAGTCTCTAAAAGGGAGAGTTAAGCCTTGCAACGTAAGTATATGCGATTTTAAGTGGAATTCAAAGAATGCAGAAGTATACACTATACATATTAAGTTCGTAAAGCGATAGCTATAGGTACACATACTCTCGTCTGTTTAAGTTGTGTATAATTAAATTAAGTTGAAGTAGTGTCTAATTCAATCCCAAATCATAGGTAAAGGGTAAGCCTCTTACTCGAGTCAAAGATCCGAAAAGAAGTGATTGAATTTACTTCTGTCTGAGCTGAAAGAATGTCGTAAATAAATATCTTCCGTGGTATCAATTTGTTATCATAGTATACAAACTACCGTTCTTTCAACAAAAAATATTTCATCTGAGTTGAAATTTAACAAGAATCCATGGATTACATAAACCAAAGTTGAAATTAATCGGTTCTAATCATCCACCTTAATTATAACGTATTAGCCTCTAAATAAACTCTGTTTACAAAACAAAAGTCGGAAGCGCTAGTTTTGTAAACAAATTCGTTTAGTTTTCCCGATCCGATGGATTCAGTTTACCTACATCTGTAAGAAGCAGGTGAGCAACCTAGAAAGTGGCAGTGTAATAGCCAATTCGGATTTTATGGCCCTACACCTCGTGCCAAGAATCGTTAAATTCATCATTACTAATTTAGACCGAGCGCGTAGTAACTTTGAATGTCTGTTTACATACAATGAATTCCGTCTGATCGATGCGGAAATTACAAGCACGATGAAGTTACGTGAGCACGCGAGATATTGACGTAATACGTACCTTCGTAATCCAGAAGACTATCATCTGGAGAAGATTCCGAATATAGGGATGAAGCGGTCCCGTACCGCGTTGCTCTCAAGGATGCAGCCAGGGTGTTGTTGTTGATGTTGAAGTGCGCCCTGTTCTTCGCGTTGTTTGCTAGCTCTCGCTCCTGAACAAGTGCAGGGTTGCACCATTGCACCGTATCTTCGGTATTAACGTTGTTGAACGTTGTGTTTATATCGGCCGTTTGAGTCGTTGTCGTAATTCCATTTGAATTTATATTGCTTAGGGTGAGGGTTGAAGTTATGTTACTGTTCTGGATTGTGTTTAATCGTTTCGGAGAGTTTAGTATATCCAAATCATTTCCATTACGTACTGAGAACGGCGCATCCGCAGCCTTCAACCGCATTGTGGTATGCTGAAAAGAAAGAGAGCACTGTCAGTTATATGTTTTTAACGACTTACAGAAAATTCTTAATCTTATGTTTGTTAAATTAATGTTTGAAGTATTGTACCTATGCCCTAGATAGAGAATCCGACACCGTTTTGTGAGTCTGTGTATGCGTCATTGGGCCGTATGAATAAAAAGAAGCAAATGCTTATACTTACAAACTTCAAAGTAAATACTCGTAACTGCCCCTTCATACTGGTCTGTTTAGCATGGTTTAGCAGCGCTGCACTGCGTCCTGTCCTGCTGCTCAGCAGCGCTGCTAAATCGCCCAGTGTGAAGGAGCAATTACGAGTATTTATTTTGAATTTTGCAAGTATAAGCATTTGCTTCCTTTTATTCATATGGGCCATTGAGTTGTCACCTGTTAATGGGTTTCGGAAGTCCTGGTGTCAGTTTTTCGGTCTTTGAGGCTGTCTTAATTAAGTTCATGTGCTGCGTTAGCATTACGTAGTATGATTTCACATCGAGTCCATTGGAAACAAAGAATTGCAAAATTAAACGAACATGGTATTATGATGATGACCGTAGTGCTAGCCTAATTCGTGTATTTAAAATAATCAAAAAAGTTAATGATTAAAAATAGCCGACTTATTAATGAAGCGCCAGGAAAGGAGACAGTATATTCATTCGTTTTTGGATCACGGGAACGTCAACCGGCTCCAAATATTAATCATTTCCACAATTCTTCGAGTAGCCACCTAGAAGGAAGTTACCCTCCTTTCCATGCGTCCGCGTTGTTTGTGAAAAAACGTGAAGCGCTGTTGTAGGGGTGTCCGATAAAGACTAAGACTTAGATTACGTGAATGGGCTTACGTAAGAAGATAGCTAGCGCGACATACGTGTTTGTAAGTCGACCAAAATTACTTAAATCGATCCGTCGGAAAACAAGTAAACTCAGTGATAAGAGAAGAATGGGTCGGGTTACGGCGATACATTGTTAATGTGTGCGTAGTAATCAACTGTTGCCATGTTTGGTCAGATCGTTTTGGTGTACAATAAATCCTTCCCCAAACAACTCCTTCATTGCATTATAGGTACGAGCCAGCCCATTACGAAGAATTTTTGTAAACCTGAGTTTCCCTCCACTACCAGTTCGAGTCCAACTTCAACAAGCAAATTTCCATTCGTCTCTGTGCAACATTAGAAGGCACACAGTTAATTCCAAAGTTGGGCGACTAGAGGGTAGTCTAGATTTCTTACAAATAAGGTGATGTGTATTTTTAAATTCATTGTAGATCGTGTCCTTCCAAAAAAAAAACCTTGATTTTTGATTAGCAAGGAATAGAAATAACCTAGGAAATAAATCTCTGAATCTTTGTGATATTGTAAAATAAAATTTATGCTGGGAGAACCATCCAGTATTCAATATAAAATAATAAAGGTCTCCTTACTAAGCCAAATATGCGTATTCGAGATTTTGCCCAATTAAAGGGTTGTTAGTAATAGAGAAACGCAGCCACGCAAAGTTCTCGTGAGATTTTGAAATCGGGGTGGTTTTAATCTAAGTTTTATATGTTTATATTATATGGCGGTTGAGGAAGAGTGAAATCAACAATTGACAAAAACTTTAAATATATACCTAACTAACCTAATCATAATTTGATTGGTGTAATTTATTCAAGGTGGTCGAAGGCGGAAGGAATTTTTTTTTAATTTTCAGGTTGGAAACCAAGAAAGTCCAATTTTACTGCGTACAGTGTATAACAAAAAATTACCGAAAGGAGCTAGTCGTCGGCGCCGGTAAAATAACATTACGAAAAACAATAACAATTGGCAACACCCATTGAAAACCTACACATTTAAGGGTTGCCAAAAAATATCCTACTTGCAAGGAAAAAACGACAAGAATGTTGGATAAAGAGAAACACCGCGAACGTTTAATAGTGGGTGTATACAGTCATTGAGTAGTTCACTGAAGAAATAGCTAAAAGAAACGAATGTTTATTGTGCGTTGTCCTTATTTTTTACTTTCGACGTTGAAGGCGATCTTAAATCGGAATGACCCATGGGGGTACACATCAGGTGAAAAAGTGAAGCCATAACAGAAAATCGGAGAAAACGGAAATTCCACTGCAATGTCAATTATTGGAAACCTGGTTAAAAAAGGAAAATGCACCATCCTTGATAACGCTTGCGATTACTGGTGATCTAATTGAGTTAAAAATGACTGTCGGACATCGAAAGAAATGTAGGAGAAACTGCAGAGAACTCACGAGACGTAGGAGGAGAAAATCAATGAGGATCAGTAATACGATACTAGAAGAGGGAGAGGATGTGAGAAAACATTTACATGATTTGTTTTACAAAGTGGCAGAAACCCAAAAAACTGTCACTTAGAGATCGGCCGCTTTATCTTTGAGTTCGTAGGAATACAATTAGTGAAAGATGGCGGAGTTATCTCTTAAAAACCAATCACTAATAGGTTATTTTGTTTTAGGAGAGAACTCCGTCCCCTTTCTCTCCTATTCCTATGAACTCAAAAATAAGGGCCCAGTAAGGAATTAGTTTCTTATCTCCTTTTACTGAGTCTCCAACCAAGTTTCGAGGTACTTTGCACCACGATGGAGTGTCAGGGCACACTGCCGGAGCACGAAGAACTGAGAATCAGGATCATTACACATTAATTCCAGGAATCAATATACAGGAATTCAAGATGCCATGGTAGCAGGTTTCGACAAAAAATCATCGGAGAAAAGTGAGAAGGAAAGGAAGGACTTTTCTTACAAGTGCAACCGCTGCAGAAAGAAAGGGCACGTGATCAAATTTTGCACCAGAAAGAGAAGGACAACTACGCCAAGGTAAACAACGTGAAAGCGATTCTGAAGGAGTAATACAGAATCTTTTGGAGGATTTCTCAAATATGGGAGAAGCAATTGGAGTATCGACAGCGGAAGTGCGTCACACTTGTGCAAACACGTAGAAAACTTCACAAAACTACAGAATACAAATGGAGTGGACTTAAAACTCGCCAGAAATTCATCGACGGAGATAAAAGGAAGAGGAACAGCGGAGGTCAAGTCGGATTTCGATGGAAAAATTAAAGATGTCAACATTCAAGACGCGTTCAACGTTACCAGAATTGCGAGTGAACATCTAATCTTGTGAGAAAAGTAACAGACAAGGGAATGACGGCCACCTTCGATGACAAAACCGCAGATATCGTCGACAAGACTAGAAAATTCATCCACCAGGTAAAAAGATTCAGCGAGCTGTACATAATCCAAGAAAGAACGAACAAATGCAATTCAGTACCTGGAGAATCGACACTAAGTGAAACTAAAATTGGGCCATGTAAATTTCAAGGATCTCCAATAATGCCAAGGAGGTTCGTGGAGCCAAAGCGTCAGAAATGTCTAGAACTATTGGGCGTTTCTAGATGTTCAGTTAGACGCTTTCTTCTATGGCTGTTTTTAATAGGGTTGATTTTATTTTTGTTTTGAGAGTTTTAATAATGGTCTTATCAAAGTGAGCCTCGAGTTTGGTGCGAGGGTTGCTCAAGTTCCATTGTCGTAAGCATTCGTGTAGTCAACGTGGATTTGAGATGCAAATGACAGTAGGGGTGTGGAGTGATTTCATTGGAGGTTGAGTATATTACATTGGTTGGTTTGGATCGTACGTTAAGTAGAAGTGATTTTGCATTTAATTGAGTGGTGGGACAGGTGCAAATTGAGAGGAATTAAGATTGGGACGACGTCTTGAGCCGTGGTAGAGCTCGTATTGCTCAAAATTTATTCAGTTAGTTCCTTGACCATTGTCGGTCTACCTATTACTGAAAACAGAATTAGAAAATTCGAAACCGTTCACGAGTTATCATGTACGCAGACCATCGGGGGATGGGCGGATGGATGGACGGTCTGACGGACGGACAAAACGTCCAAAGTCATGAACTGGCTTTTTGGCGCTCGTTAGTAAATTGAATAAGAAACCGTTTCGAGGAAAAGTAAGCGAAATTTCATTTGCGGGTGCGCAAAATAAACATTAAGTAAAGTTCAAGTATTGCGATCGGTCGTCTTACGCGCATCGTTAAAACGAGACTCATTTAAACAGAAAATCCAAATACAGGATAAAGTCTAAACAAATAAACTAAACAAATATAGAATACGGGCTCCTGGGTATGGCTATAGCATGTGCAAAACCAAAATATTAAACCTGATGTTAGTTTTGCTTTTATTTAAAGTGTATATGTATGAAATTTCATTTAATTGCTTCCATAAGTAAGAAAGTTGGCACTGCACATCCTACACAAAACCAAATTTGGAAAATGGCAATTCATTTGCTTTTATTCCAAGTGGCTATGTATCAAATTTCATTTAAATCCCTCCATAAATAAGCAAGTTGGCACTGCGCATGCGCAAAACCAAATTTTGAAACTGGCATTAGGTATATTTGCTTTTATTCCAAGTGGTTATGTATCAAATTTCATTTAAATACCTTCATAAATAAAAAAGTTTGCAATTCGGTTCGAGATGCGAAATGGGCACTGTGAATGTTGATCGATTAGGCTGAATTTTTGGAATTGCGTTTTATATGGCTAAAGCTATACGCATAATGAATTTCATGCAATTCGGTTCATAACTCACGGAAATGTCAAAAGGGCCTTCCTTATTTTTTGGGCTACATTGCAAATTCACGAACACCGGTCTACAAATTTGACAAAGAATCCACCTACAAAATTTTATCGTAATCGGTCCATTCTTTATCGAGATATCGTGCTAACGGACGGACAGACACCGCAAAATTATAAACTCGCTAGGAGCTCGTTAATCAAGTAAGTGGAATAGCGACCTCAAAAAAAAATGAGAAAGGAAAGAATGTAAAAAAAATGACAAAAGAAAACAGAAAATACCGGATTTTATCCAATTTATGAATAACAATTTCTGGGTAACAACAAGAATGAAAAGGGTGGCAGTGGCAAAGAGAAAATTCTGATCTAGTAGTAAATGACTTTTTTGGTCATGAACATGTTT